CAAATTATACTATCCAAAACAATCATTGGTTTGACAAAGTTTCAAGCTATAAGTTTCCCCAAGCATTATTTCCTACTGTGATACTTTGAGCTGAACCTAGTTCCGTAATGGCTTAATTTTCTAATAATATTCAATTTGTTTCAAAAGATACCCTCCCTAGTCGTGTTTTATGGTCAACTAACAATTACAATCAGCAGTTCACTAACATAGGTATTTGCATAATCTTATTCTCTGGAAACGTCATGAAAATTATCGTTACCAATAACATCCCTACATTTGAACAGGTTATTCAATTCATAACCTTTTTTCAGCATTACCTTAATTTTTCTAATTCTTGATTCCATCAATCTCATTATACGTTTTCAGCAAACGTGACTCATGGTGCCAAATGAAATATACTTCCATTACAACATTTGCCCGTAAAGCTATTCACATTCTCCAATAAATGTGTGAATGGGACAACTTGTACACTTACTGGGTACTCATAATTCCTTTTTATTCAATTATTTATATTTTCATTTTTGTATCCTTGTCCATGTAGGAAATACAAAAAAAAAAACCCGTTTTCCACATGTACTAGGTTGTTCTGGTGTAATGTTAGTGTTTATTCAAATGAGATGTATCAACAGGTTCAAGTCATACTCACTGTGTCTACATTATTAAAATTTTCTGGTCATTATTGGAAATAATGTACTTGTTTTCTTTGACACAGCTCGAACAAAGTCAATATGCAAAATAGCACTGTCTTACACCTACGCCAGATCCACTTGCTTTTCACACCTAATGAAGTTGACAAAGTTTCAAACTCAATTTAGGTATTGTTGTGACCCCACATTCTAAGTTTTATCTGCCTTTTCTTTTTAACTCTTCAAAACAAGAACCAAACATCCTTTCAATTAGTCGTTTAATGTCCCACTTATGCGGTATGTGGTTCAACACTGTTGCATCAAAGATTTGTTTAATTTATTCTATACGTATTTAGAGGTATTCGGTCATACTCTCTATATATTTAGACTGCGTGGTTAAATCTCACGTGATCCGCTTAACAAAACGGTGACTAAAAAACGGTTAGAATCAATTCCTAGTCTTCCAAACATACTATCAATATTCTGGCCCCATATCTACCTATACATGTCCCCCCAAGATTGCTCATACCTGCCTTCAGGTCTTCCACGGCGTACTGAAATCGGCTCACAACGCGGATTTCACATTTTGGGTCATCAATCAATTCCTTTCATCATTCTTCTTCTTCTTCTTCTTTAAACCCTCTAGCCCTTACAAAAGGTACCAGTTTCAAGTCCCACTTTGGATTTTTTCACTTGGGTAAGGTTTCCAATCTTTTTGTTGCCTTAGGGTGTGGCACGACATCAAGGATCGTTTTCTTTCTTTTGCCGTTTAGTCACTCACGTTAAGATCCCTGGATCTCTTCCCTGGTGGTCTACCTGAAAACGGCCATTTTCTTGTGTCTTACTCAGGCATCATTTATCACGCGTCATGCGCCAGGCAGGTTCTTTGTTCCAATGTGCTTTGCATCTCTTCAACAACAACACTTTATGTATGCTAAAGTATTGATGATGTCAAGCACATTGTGGACAACGGTTCCCCTGCCTTGTCTCATTCTGCTGGCTGTATCACTTGTGATTCTTGTAGTAACGTCAAAAATGTCTGTTTTTTCTTGTCGTGACCAATTGTAATAGCTCCAGAATCTACGTTAGTGGACTAGGCGTTGCAAGAAATAAACAATCTCTTTATGGTCCTGTGTGTATAGTGTTAAAATTTTGAAGACCCTTCATGAAAAATCAGGTTTGCTTGTAACTTTACTTTGAAGGAATAGCTTGTTAAAATGAAAGAAGAGAAGGAAGAAGGTAATGAATAGTTATACACAAAATCTGGTGTTGGAAATCTTGGTTATTGAGGCTAATTCTCGTCGGTTGACTTGAGTTTCGATGACTCTTTTTTTACATGTAAGTTATATTATCCGGTCAGGACTACTCTAGTTATGGGTTTTGAATCCTATTAATTGGATTCTCAGACCTTTTGTTTTATTTTTTTATCGGGTTTTTGTACGCGTTATTCACTTTGATTTCACCCCGTCATCCCTATATAGAGAGGTCTACCGGTGTCTCTCTATAATTATATACACAAATTACAAATCTTGTATGCAACAATTTGTTGACACCCAACGCATAAGTCAGTACGTCTATTGCAAGGCTGTTGTGGTTCTTTTTGTTCTGAGAGTTAAACAAAGACCCACAGGCTAGCTAAACTATAGCATGTGGGAGTCAATACTCACCCTGCGTTGCAACTTATAGTCCTTCCTAGGTGTGCAAAGCAAGTGGATCTGGTAAGGTGTAAGCCCGTGCTAATTTGCATATTGGCTTGTTCGCGCTGTGTCAGAAACAGTACTTTTACAATAATCGCGCAAATTTAAAATGTAGCCAGTGTATGTATCACTGAACCTGTTGATACATCTCATTTGAAGAACACTACATCACAGAACACTAGCTACTGTGAAACGGTCTCCATGCATACCCACACACCCTGAAAATCTAAATAATGAATAAAAAGGAATAGTATGAGTCCAGTCAGTGCTCAAGTGTCATTCAGACATTCTTTGAAGCAGCTGTGAATAGCTTCGGCAAATGTTGTAATGGCCAGTCTCTTTCTGGCACTGAGTCACGTGCTGCAAAACGTAGTATGAATGATGGAATCAGAATTAGAAACTTAAGGGTACTGCTCGCCAACAAATGGTTATGAATGAACTTTCTGTCTCAATGTAGGGCATGTTCTTGTTCCGATCTTTTTCATGACGTTTCAGAGAAATCAGTTTATGCTAAATACTATGTATAGTTGACACCTGCTGTGTATGTGTGTCTCGCATAAACCCGACTAGGGAGCTCACTTCTTTTTGCCAATGAATAAATTATAGAAAAATCGCCATTCGGGACCACTAGGTCAGCTCGCTCTCGCTCGGCAATAATGCTTTGGCAACACCTTATAGTTGAACTTTGCCCTCACCAATGATTGTTTTGGAGCAGTATAATCTTTGAGTTGCCTTTTAAAGCACAACGAAGTAGATAGTACGTATTCTGCTTTAAAACAAATCAAACAGAGAGATGGTAAGTTTACAAGTGGAAAAATCATTTCTTCAAAATGAAAGGGGGATATAGGGATGGCTTAAAGCACCAAAAAGGAAGAAACAAGGGGTCATTACACAGCAAAGATGCACAAAGCTACATGACACCATCCCTATATCTAAAACTTACTTCAAGGTAAACTGTTGCAGAGTGGAAATGACGGAGACGGCAAGCGCGGCTCTTTCCCAATTAGGGAGGAAAATGTCAGCAGGGCGAGATTGGTGTGAACAATAACACAAAGATATAGGGATGGTGTCATGTAGCTTTGTGCATCTTTGCTGTGTAATGACCCCTTGTTTCTTCCTTTTTGGTGCTTTAAGCCATCCCTATATCCCCCTTTCATTTTGAAGAAATGATTTTTCCACTTGTTTTCCACTATTTTTCACGCCCGTGTGACTCCACAATGTTGCTGCGCATTGCATTTTTTTGTGGCTCATAACCACATCGTCTTTCAAAAGATGTGCTAGAATGTGTCCTGCTAAAAATATGGATAATGCCTTTGTTTATTGTGCATTAATGATGAATAGAAGTGTATTTTTACACGTGTGTGTATTAAATGTCAGGTTAGGTATTGCAGTAGCCTGCCCTGGCGCAGCGGGGCCTGTGTTGTGTTCCTATGAATGGTTTAACTAACTCATTTGCCATCCTCAATGCAGCAGAGGCCCACCGGCTAAGGAAGTTAGTCGCTTTGTGCTCACAGCCACTTGCCAAATAGCTGTAACAGGAGAAATGGCTGTGTTGTAAGCAGTACTTGCCACTTTGCGAGTTTGTGTTCGCTCGTCACCCACTCGATCCTAAATTTTGTCATTAGACCTCATTAGCGATGCGCTTACTGAAAAAGCCACCAACACGTTCAGGTGCCCACAATCCTGCAGTTAGTAAAGTGTGGGGGAGAAAAGACTCTGTGCAGAATGGTGTGGTGTTAGCACTGGAAACTCTCAACTTTCACGGAACTCACAGTTTGAAATTTTCTTCTTCTTTTAAACCGTTTTCAAGGGGAGGGAGAGGCAAATGCTCACTCTCCCCACTCTGAAATTAACCCTGTTGCAGTGAAAGGTTGTAGAGAGATAGGGGGGAAATGTATATGAAAGGCATAAAAGGAAAGACGAAAGGTTGGGGCACAGTATCACACACATGTCTGTAATGGGCTTCATAGGTAGGATATCCACCAAGTAAATCTGTTAGAGGGGGAAAGACAAAAGCCCTGAGCTAGATGATACCCCCCCTTATGCCACAAAGATTTCTCTCTGCCTCCCTTAAGCACCTTGCACATCGTTTTCTCCACATTCTGGCATCTCTCTAAAATTCCCAGTGATTATCAACGCCTCAGTGCTGACTTTGCCTGCACCACTGCAGCTTCCTCTTGCATTCCCCCAGCCATCTGTTACATACTCTGAGCACTTGCATGTGTGCACACACAGCAACTCGATCCCTCCTCTTACACTGTAGCTCCCATTTTCTTTCTTCCCTTCTTCCTTCACCTTCTCCTCTCTCTCCTCTTCTTCCTTCTTTCCTCACCTCCACCCTCTCCATCCCACAACTCTCTTTCTTCCCTTAGCCTCCTTTGTAGAAAGAACACTCAGCCTAGAGAGAGTAGTGTCAGTGCGGTCGGTTTGAGTCAGCAATCTAGAGCCCTTCTTAAAATGCTGTTGGTTATGTTGGATGATATAATCTTCTAGATGTCGTAGAACACTCTCTCGAAAATGTTTGATTTCATTTTTCACAGTCATCTCTGTGTCTTGTTCTGGGTGTCATTGATTTTACATACACTTGCTTTGCTGTAATAACACATGATCCCTTTCTTCCTACTCAATTATAATAGTGCCGCACCCTCTTAACAAAGCAATGCTTTCAACACACACACACACACACACACACACACAGTATCCGGGCTGCTCAAAGGCATTCTCCCGACTGGAGAACCTCAAGATACACATGCGGACCCACACGGGGGAGCGTCCCTATTGCTGCCAGTTCCACGGCTGCAACAAGTCATTCTCAAACTCGTCTGACCGCTCGAAACACCAGAAGACACATGTTGAGCAGGTTTGTCAATTGCGATAATAATCGTGTGTATAAGAACAATAGTGTCGGCACTGATAGCTTTTTTCACTAGATTAATGTATAATAATTATGATGCAGTCCATTGTGAACAATATATAGCGTGTACTGAAACTAGTGTTTCTTTTAATGTGGCGAGCAATATCTCAGGGAATAGGGAACTACCAAGCTCAAGCCTCTCTTTGGTGTATGCATACACACAAAAACACACGCACGAGCAAATAGAGCAGGTACTTACCTGTCAAATGAGCGTTTCTTTCACTGTTCCATTGAATGGGGCCGGCAAAGAATGCAAAACAAGGCTTCGCAACTTTCTGTTGCTTGTCAGTGTTTACGGGAACCTTCTAGTCAGTGTCGCACCACTTTCCATATCTCAACAGTACATTGACCGACTCATCGTTAGCCCCTATACAGTGTACACACCCTCTCGGTTCACTGCCTATCTATATACAGGCACAGAGTAGCTTAGGCAATGGTCCATGTGCTCACACAACAGTGCTACTTTGGTTGATAAACACTACCGCCCGATGAGGGCAGTTAAACTTTTTAGCAAAACAGCTGTACACATTGTGCATTCTACACTCTGTTGGTTGGGGACCTTGGCTCTTTCATCAGAAACCTTACGCCTGTGTGCATCCCGGCTGCTCAAAAAGGTACACTGATCCCAGCTCTCTGAGGAAACATGCCAAGACTCACCAAGTCCAGCAAAAGAAGGTGAACTTTCTCCTCCCCTTTCTCTCTCTTCTGCATCATCCTAAGCTTGAAAGGGGCTCATTATGCTCAAAATGTTTTGAGCATGCTCAGTGGCACATGCTGCACTCTACAACGGTTGCATTGTCTAAATGTAAAATTCAATGCACATGTCATTGTAAACAATAATCGTATATTTTTTCATAATGTACTGCTTGTAAGTGTGACAGTAAAGCTATAAAGTGTATAGGGCTTCAAGCAATGACATCGGTATTGTGGCATAAAGGTCAAGCAGAATAATGTAGGTATAATTAATTATTCGCAACCAATATCCTTTTTACCTCATCAATGCATCTCTCAACTATAGAATAGTGCATCCTTTTGCCTGCACGATGCCAACAAGAATGTGCACGCTACTTTTGTCCATACACCCACCAGTTGGTGTATTCGTGATAACATCTGCCAACCAGAGTGTGGCTTCCCTTATAGTAACCGTCTTTATAGTGGGTCATGCTCGGGTCCTGCATTGGGGGCTGTAATCTGATCCCACTCACCCTCCCTTCCTCCTCACTGATGTAACGTTGAGTAATTCGGATTCCTACGTCCTGTACATTTTCCATGCTCTCTCTCTCTCTCTCTCCACACGTTTGCTTTCTCTATCTTGAGCATCTCCTCCTCTCTCCCTCTTTCTGAAAGTTTCATTCTTGCTGTCCTCTTCTCAATCTCATCCTTACATTACCTTTCTTACTCCTTCACTTCCCTCCCTCTCTTACACTTGACACTGACATATGTACATTTTCTGGATCATTCCCTTTTCTCCTTCCCTCTCTGGTTCTTCTTTCCCACTGCGTTCTTCATCTTCCCTCTTACCCTTCTTCTCCTCTCTCTCTCTCTCTCTGCAACCTACAGCTCCACAATGGTGACAGCCTAACTGAAGAAGCACTGGACTCGTGTCTAACGATCCAGCCATTCAGACTCATCCCCGACCACGTCGATATGTCCGCCCCGGGAAAGATGAAGGACAAGACAAAGTCCGGCCGCAACGGAGGTGGCAGTGGTTCAAAGCACAAAGACCAGGCGTCGTTGAAGAGTTCAGTGCAGCTCACAGACAGACACAACTCCATGCTGAATTTGGACCCCATGACAAACGCCGAAAAACCTCCCGATTTTGCCCCCGGAATCCCACACAAGATTGTGCCACTCACAAACGAGCATCATCACGGAGAGTATTTCTCCCCTGCACATCCCTCCCCCACCATCTTCCCACTTCCTCCCACGCCGCTCGGTCCAGGAAGCCCGAGTATGCTTCCAGGTTCCCCCATGATGTCGTCCCCACCTCACTGCTCTCCTTTGCACCTCCACCCACCCTCCTCGGCTCACTTCCACCAAGCACCGATCACTGCTGCGTCCGCGTTCCCACTCACCCTCCCTCCTCACTCAGTAATAGCCAGCTCCGCAGACCCCTCCAGTCCCATGCAGGTCATCTACTCCCCATCTCAGGCCCTGGTGAGACTACAACACTCTACGAGTTGCGGTGCGAGCATCTTCCACCCGCACAACGGCGCCGCAAACTCGCTACACTTTTCCTCTGATTCTCACATCCCCGGCATGCTCTTCGGTCCGTCGATATCGCTGCAACCCACTGCCTTCCTCCCTGGCACGCCTCCAGCTCTGCACTCCACCCAGTACATCACGGGCACACCGTCAGCTGCCCCGAGCATCCGCGACTATCCCCCTCCTCTCTTTACAGGTATGCAACCGCACGTCATAGGAGGAGATTTCTCAACATGTGCCATCCCCACCCTCCAACGAAACAATGACTTACACCAGTATCACTAACAGCCACACTAACAGGCCAGGCACAATATTTTGTGTGTACTATAATCGTATGTACAGTGATCCAAGCATCGAGCTTTATGTTCTCGTAAATGCAAGAATACCGTTATGAAACCTTTAGAGAACACAATTTTTGGGTTTATTTTTTTGTAAGCCTTTAATTCTCTAACTTATTTGTCATCACATCTCCCGCAAAATTTCGCTCAATTCGCTATTATGTTGTACATGTGTCTATAAACAAGTCCTCCGTACATGGCTAAAGTAACAGAACACCTCGCTGTGTGTGTGTGTTCACAAAGCAAGCACCAAAACGCTCAGTTAGCACGTGAATTGGTCCAACCAGGGTGCCGCTAACTTACAATACAATCCCCTATTGATGAGTCTCGGACGTGCATAGCTCGCACCGCTTATGGTTCGAGGCTATACCTTTGCAGACTTTTCATCTCTTGTCCCTCTCGCTCCCGCTGCCAAGAACGCCGCATAGCAACGGACGAGTTAGGTAACGAGGCAATCAACATCGCTGAGCTTTGGCTCTCGACGGTAGTGCAGTGGCAGGATCATGTGGGCACGTTCTCATGGCACTGGAGTGTATGTTTGTCGGTGCGGTTCTCTACAAACTTGGGCAGATTGAGAGCAATTCACACATTGTGTCGGCGGTCGGAGGTATGCATATTCGTGAGAATCCCATTAGCCCATTCATAAGAAGCACAACAATGGGGTATATGCAACAATACACGAGAGGTTAATATGCACTAATGACGGGGTCGAGTAGCTGCAGTACAAGTTCTCAGATCTGCACGATGCAAGAGAGTCCGCTGGTCCATCTGGAGTCCAGCCTTAGAGGCAGTGTTGTTCCGTCTAGCCACGCCCTATCCTTTTTTACCTCCCACAAAACACAGGTTAAAAGAATGGCGCAGTGAAACTGCTGGCATCTGATCGCCCACGTATCGCGATGCATTCCGAGCTGCACATAATAAACACAAGCTAGTATATGCCCTATGTGCCGGCAATAAACTTCCGACAGGCAATTAAAAAACGAGCAATTTACAGCTACTTATAGTGAGTACATGGCAGTGTACTACCGCCCACCCAAACGGGGCGAATCGGGGCACCTGTGGCCGGCTTGGGTTGGCCGCGCGACAGGTGAGCGATGTTAAAACAAAGATCTGCCAAATGGAATGATCATGATAGATGCATGCATCTCCATCTTTTGTGTTAGAGTTGCAGTGTTAGATAATCTATACTAAAGTGACCTCTAATGCAGCAGTATGATGTATAAGAGGAGCTCTCTGCATGAACCACTAAACATAAGAGAGAATAATACATCACCAATATGTTAGCAGCATAAGAGCCTTTAGCTACAGCCGCAGGGCATTAGTTATTGGCACCTTAGGTACAATGTACAGTCTTACACCCATTATCTATGACAGTGGGAGTCACAACAACCGTTATGCTAAATAGAGCTGTGCATGGACTGGCATACATCGCCGCCACGTGCAGCAGACTCACTGTCTGGTTGCCATGACAACCGGCACAAATTAGTTTCACAGACTGTGGCCACGGCGGCGATCGAGCAATCCAGCAGCAATGGAGAAATGATATGTTGTTATTGTAATCATGCACGGTTGTGTGCGTGTGTGTGCAGAAAACACTTTACTCAACTGCATGCAACAAACGCCAAAGTGTGACTTTCAATTAGTTACGCCACGTGGACGCAAATGGACGGGTGTGCTCAACCTTCCAAATCGGACTATTTCTACAATCCTGTGGTCATACTCAAACCAAAGTGCACAGATTAAAGGATACCCGATGTCCCGTCCGCATAATGGCATAATCCGCTAAATATCACGGAATTTATACAGTGACATAAGAGGGGTTAGTATGCCAATGGCTTGGTTTTGATGTGGCCGCTGTTTTGGAACCACCGGGTGAGGTAACAGATGTGTGTACATCAGTTCGACCAGTTAGGAGAATAGGATGCACTCCAATTACTTCACAGGGCACCTCAATTGTGCTCTGCGGGGCCCAGCAATGGAGCCGTTGAGACGGTAATGACAATCCAATACGCAGAAAACTCGAGAGGGTATGAAATTCTTTGAGTCAACAATGGGGTAGTTGAGATTAACAATAAAGTGGCAAATACTGCAATATTATGGATAGATTACAGTAAGAAATTCTTTGTGTTGACATACATAATACACTTTTATGATAGTTCGAAGTGAAATGGTCAATGTATGTACAACAGGGAGAGAAGGCTGGCTATGACAGACTGATGTTGTTATGGTGTTGAGTCGGTGCACAAAATTTCTTCAATTGTGGGTTTTAGCTGCAGAAGACCCCGGGAAGAGAGTATGTGCCAACATATTACGTTGCTGGAAGTGCACTCAACGTAACATGCGAAAAGGTTCCACGATCTGATGATTAATGTGTCCCGGTTTTGAGGTTGTTCACGTTGTTCTTCTGTGGTGGGGACACGTGAATGCTCACTCACAATGAAGAAACCAAAACAGCCAAACATTTGTTGACCAACCCTCACCTCAACAACCGTAAACAAACCTCGATAAACAGTCAATAGTTTGCACGAGGCTCACGTGAAAGAGACCGAAATTCATTGACTGAGGGAGTGGGAAACCACAGCTGCTTTTGAGTGTGGTTGCCGTGGATACCAAGCCACAGAACTGAGGCTCCAAAGCGGAGTGCTTTTGAATATTGGACAATAGTCGGTTTGGAAGTGGATGACCGCATTTACACAATGAGAGCAAGAGACAAATAATTTTAATTTTACAAAATGCTATGAACTCTAAATTTTGAAAAGGCTCTTGGCTCCGAGTGGCACACAGGGAATGCTTTTGGCAAGATGAAGAGATGCGATACAGTGGAGCCCCCTCTCTAAGGAAAGCCACTTGTACAGATACTGTTGCCATTCACTTCGTTGATGTAACAGTATCCTCAAGGAGACCCGCATTTCCAGATAATTGCTGTTTTTGATTTGCCACGTGCTTGGAATAATTCTGGGTCAGTCTGTGGCTGGAAAAGATCCGAGAGAGATCGACTGTGCGCACATGTGTGTGTTCCTAATGACTGTTTGTATATCTCTGAAACTATAAAATGACTAAGAGTCCAACTGTTAGCCACCACACCACCCAAATATCAGCTGGTGTCCTTTATCTCAAGTGTACACACTTATTTATGTATATACACACGTAGTAAAAAGCCACTCAAAGGCTAATCGAGTTTGTGTGCAATTCTCGTTGCCTTTGTGCATAGAAAAGACAGTGTGCGCCAGGAAACGAAATTTAAACTTTGCAATGAATATGGACATCATTATAAAAGCTGTATGTATGCGGTAGGTATGAAACATACTCTACACTGAATTTGACATCTTCGTATAATTCCCTCTGCCTCTGTGCATAAAAACACCATGCGATGTGCATACAAAAGACAGCGTGGTTTGGTTTGCACGGCAATAGATATATAGCTGTACCCATGAATCGCCCACGGGCATAATTATGTAGTCATTCAAGAGTTATGTCAGTGTCCCTGTGTGATTTCACGCCGCTCCAGACACAAGGCAGTTGTGACGCTGACATAATCAATGGGTACAGATCAGCGGTACTCACAGTGCGGTGAAGTCACTGGCAAATTCATGCAACAGCCTCAGACGAGAGAGACTGAGAGACTACACATGAATAATGATGTATGACTGCATTTCACGTGCATGTATTCATTGGCCACGATATTACGATTGTCTTTACGCTTGCTAGCAATCGAGTCATCATTTGAACGTCAATCCACAGTAGTATATAAAGATAGACAATGCAACTTGTCGTGTGTTGCATGTTCAAGTGTAATCGGTGTGATGGGTCCTCCTTGCACACAATCTCAAATACCTTTGTCTCGTGCAAAAAAGTTAAACAGTTCATAATGGTTGGTGAACACTTAAGTAAACCAGCATTATAAAAAATAAAAAAATTTAAAAACATCGCATGGCATTAACGTCAACCTATGAACAGTTGTTGCATATGTGGGTTCACATTATCGCTGGGCCATGAATGGAACAGGCGCACGCCACAATACAAAACAGCCTCAGTGACAGCACATATTCAACTGGCGATAACGGTATTCACCTTCGAGCACCCTGGGACCTTCTCAGCCATATCTCATGAATAATTCATATAATAGTATGTCATTATAACTACACTGCAACAAACTAATGGAGTAATATACACTAATTCATAAACATCCAGCAAATAATTATGTACATACATATCTACAGACTGTGTGTGTGCGCATGTGTCTTTCTCTGTACAACAATACAACACAGGAATGACATAACGATGACATCATATTATGTAAGGGCTAGCAGCACTTATTGATGTACCCAGCAATGACCTACAAAGAGAATGGTTTTGGGAGGAGGGAAGGGAGCAGAGAGGGAAGGATATGGAGAGAGAAGGTGAGGAGAAGGGAGGGAAGAAGAGAGAAAGTGAGGAGAAGGGAGGGAAGAAGAGAGAAGAAAAGGAGTTAATGACGGAAAATGCACGAAAGGGTTATATACATTGTGTATGTACATATCCTATTCTACTAACTCACATACGAGTGCATGTACATATTATACCTATACCACACTCTAGCGTCGTTCCCTGGAATGGGAACGAGACCGGTAGCTCCTCCTTCTGTCCCTGGAATGAGACCTGCCACAAAAAAGCAGTCCACACGTAAAATTGAGATGAATTTGTACACTTTGTGCATTCATAATGGGAACATGGAATGGAATTCGGACTGGAATGTAACCTTGACCGACTGCGGGAATAGGACCGTCGCCAACCATCACGAGATCGGCTCCGAGACTGTCTGCGACCTCTCTCCTTTGAACCCTCTGACCTCCGACGGTGGGGCGACCGACTGCGGGAGCGACTCCTCGACGACCGTTTTCTGTTCCTGGAGACAGACACACTTTTAGTGGCAACAGCTAATCTTTAAGTCAAGAACTACTTTCTGTCTGGAGGGAGGAGGCAAGGGAGAAATTGTATATACCCCTGCCAAAAAGGCTTTGCCACTGAACTAGCGATGAGACTACAGTTGTCCGGACTTACTTCTACCTTACACTTCCCAAACACCTAATTTAAACAAATAATTCTAGAAAAACCTTGATAAATACCTTGAGTGTGAGCGGGACCTTCTGCGTTGTCGTGGAGATGAACTCCTAGAGCGCCGTCTCCGTGACGACCTGGGACTTGACCCACTGACGGGGGACCTGGACACACAACATATGTAAGAGTCTGACTGAGTACCGTATGGTTTGTAACTATGGATTAGTGTATTCCGTACGATGCCAAGATAATTAAACTATACACAAATTGAATGGTTAGTGCGCGCCTCATATTATGCAAGTACGAAATGAACCCAACTTGTTATTGTGTGCTAGATATAGGGCATCGATTAAAAGATAATTTGACCACAATGTCTTGCTAAGTTCTCTATGCTCCTGAGGTGTCCACTGACCTGGAACGGGAGCGGCTGGACTGGGAACGTGACGACATGTGTCTGTGTCTCGGAGATTTGGAACGGCGTGGAGACAGGGAGCTAGACTTGTGCTTCTGAAGCGATGTCACCTTTGGAATACTGGACAGAGGAAGAGAGAGCATATCGCCACTTCATTATGACATCTTTGGCTGCTAGAACGATGCACACAATAAAATCTCTGAGGTATACATAATATTATATACTGCAGAGTACAAAATGTGTAAATCTCACAAATGTAGAGTTCATCGAAGAAAACATCTGTCTGTGGAAGATGCACATTCAGTAACCTTGCAGCAGGTGTGTCATCGTCAGAGCCAGCCATCAGGTCGTACTTAGACATATCTCCATCATCATCATCATCTTCTTCTTCTTCCTCCTCCTCTTCTTCTTCCATCTCCATGGGTCGAGTGCTGGCAGACGTGGAGGCCAGCGGGAACTTGGAGAGATCCAGTTCCTCACTCTGCGTCTTCTCCAGCTGCACGTATACGGGGGAGGAGGAGGAGGAGAGTGGAGGGGGGAGGGGAGGGGGGAGAGAGTAAAAGAATATCATCTGTAGTAAACTAGGTTGGTAAGGAGCGAATAAAGTGAACCTCTGAATCACAATTTTTCCATCGGACAATGCTGTCACACTAGACAATCACACGCATTTTGTTTATGAGCAACATTATTATTTTGTAGGCTACGTACAATGTATATATGCACATACTAACCTCGTATGTTATAGCCGTGGACGGCGCTTGCTCCCATTTTGATTGGTTTTGCGTCTGAATTTCTTCTTCTTGCGACCGAACTGTGCAGGGGGGGAAGACAGAGGGAGCATTACACACATGGAGAGGAGCAAGATGGAGGGAGGGGCAAATGGAGTGCTAGATAGAGAGAAAATATGACATTTCGGAGCGACCTAGGAGGAAAATATGAACATTGGTATGTAGCAAGGGGGTGAAGGTTCGGAGCCAATTAGGATAGAGGAAGGTCAGAGAGTAGGAGAGAGGGGAGAAGAAGGAAGAGAGAAATCTACACGATCACACACACACACCTCGTCGTATTCATCATCTGATTCTTCTCTTTCTTTGTACTCCACATTCTCTCGTTCATTGTACCCTCCCCCAGCACCTGCATAATTATTACCATATATTACCATATTATATTATAACATGCTCCAACTGATGTACAGTACTGGCTGTGGGCTGCTGCTGCTCCACATTCATTCGTCTTTTTGCAGGTGGCAACTTACCAGTGAAACCCTACGCACCACTAAAATGATTACGTATACCTCTATGGGAGATAAACTTTGACGTTTCACACACCTCAATCTCAATCTCAACAGTGTGTGTGTGTGCCTGCATATGTATGTGTGTATTTATGTATGTATGTATGTATGTATGTATGTATGAGCTTTCTCGTCTATAAGTGTGTGCTGTTTAATTCCTCGTGCAACTGTGTGTGCAGGCAGGGCAGTATGTGTATTCACCAGTTCTGGCCTCTGAGACGTTGAACTTTGGCGTACGACAGACGTTGCACTCGCCTCGTCTGGCCCAGTTTACGTTACTACACCTGCGAGAGAGACAGACAGACAGATAAGTATGTCGAGAAATGGAAAAAATAGGGCAACAATGAGCATTGTGGCTGTTCTCTTACACAGAGCATTGCCAGTCCTCTGCTGCAAACAGTCCACCGCTTCGAGCGGCTGCTTGCTTCCCTATCTCTGCCCCTGTCTTCTTTATGATGTCCACTTTTCCCTTATCTATCAGAGAGAAAAAGATAGAGGGAGGAGAAGAGGGGAGAGGGTAAAAGTTGACCACACACACACACCACACACACACACACCTTTTCCACACTTGTTGCAACTTGCCCTCCAAGAGAAATTGATGTTAGCGCAACTGCGAAGTAAAGAGGAGCACACGTCATCAAACGGGGTCCCACCCAACTCCCAGTAAGCCTTACTCTTTGTCGCCGCATATCCAGTCTCCCTCGTTGTGGGTAGCAGCTCCCTTCCCCTTTATCCCAGGCGGCAAATCGGACGACGCCATCCCAGGCGGCAAATCGGACGACGCCATCTTAGGCGGCAAGGCGGACGACGGCATCTTTGGGGCAGCCATAGCAGTTGCCTGCCGCTCGCAGTGGCAAGTTGCTGCCTGTCTTGTGGCGGGCAAGGGTTGAGGTGGGCGTTAATTGGGTAGGGCCGCTGACGTTCTACGGGATTTCCCCGTTTCAACGTGGCGGTGAGTAGGGTGTCTGGAAAGCAGCATGGGATGGCTGTTGAAGACGGGCAAATCAACGCTCTGTTGGTGCTGGGAAATGAGAGAGTGAAAGAAACGAGGTTTACAGCTCCGTTTCCATCTATTACCACTGAAATGAGCACCTTCTTTCAGGAAGGCCCTCGCTGGAGCTGGCTACTATGACTCTTCGCGAAGAATCTCACACAGAGAGGGCGGTCGATGTTTTGCTCTCCCCATAACAACCTCAGCAGCTGCCAAACTGATGGCTAAAAGAGAAGCAGACACAAACCTCGACCCAGCATTCACTGACTCTCACAGTTCACCAGTGGTACTTTTCAATGGTTTGCACTGTACTCTAACACATGTCCAGCTCCCGCTATCAAAGAGTGCAGTGGCCAGAGCAAAGACCAGCAGCGCTATTCTAAAATCCTCTCTCGAAACACTCTTGAGTGAGCTAGAGCCTCCTCCAACGGTGAATGAGAAACTGATGAAAGATGTGCCTATGTCGTGGGAGAGACACGGGATTTAGTCGTACTGCCACAGCTAGCATTCGCGAGTGGAGAATGGGAGGAGGTGAAACGCAGAGCCGTCGATTTTTGGGGCACGGTGGCAAAGGCTCTAGAGTGCAACAGACTAGTGCAAGACTCGCAAATATCGAGAGACGGTTTTCGCTCGTCGTCAGCTGTCTTATTAAGAGGGTCTGACCCTTGGGTGGAGCATTTGGATAATGGTGTAAGATACGTGTTTGACGTGACAAGGATCATGTTTTCATCTGGGAATATCACGGAGAAACTTCGTGTGGCAGAGTTTGATTGTCGCGGTGAGGTGGTGGTCGACATGTACGCTGGCATCGGATACTTTACGCTGCCATTCCTGGTACACGGGCGTGCCCGTACCGTCCACGCATGCGAGTGGAACCCGGTCGCGGTGGAGGGTCTGAGGAGGGGACTGGTTCTGAATGGAGTCAGAGAACAGTGTGTCATACACCAAGGAGACTGTAGGGAAGTGAGTCCTCTTTATTACTCTTCCTTCGCCTTTAGAAGACATTACAGGTTATGAAGTGTATATATACCACTGAAGCAGACCTACACCTTAATGTCTTGGTATAATATCTATAGAGACTCAATATGTGCGCGCACCTCTTAAACTGAAAAATGACCAGTAGTCGTTTGAACTTGTGGCTCCCCCCTTTCATGCATTCGAACTCTCCTACTTAATGTGCTCTTATAACTCCTCTGTAACACCACCAACAATCTGATCTTGTCTTTCAACAGGTGTGTCCTGCTGGTGTGGCTGACAGAGTGAACCTTGGACTCATCCCCAGCAGCGAGGGGGGCTGGGCCGCCGCATGTGCAGCTCTCCGCCGTGACAGAGGAGGTTGGCTTCACGTTCACGGGAATGTGTCGTGGAAACACGGGAACCAGATTACTGGAACGGAACGGAACCCGTGGGAGGTGGGGGAAAAGAGGGAAGTGGGTAAGGGAGAGGTGGAACGGAGGGAGAAAGAGAAAGAGGAGGGAGCAGTGTCTTCAGAGCTACGTAGGAAGAAGGCTAAGACCCATTGGGCGGAGTATGTGGTGGCCAGAGTCGGACGTCTGTTGAAGGAGGGGAACCCCCTTGGGGAGGGGTGGCGGTGGGATGTGAGAGTGGGGAGAGTGGTGACAGTTAAGAGTTACGCTCCGTTCGTGGACCACGTGGTTGTTGACGTGGAATGCAGACCAACCACTGCCAGTACGGAATAAAAAACAACATCCTCATAGACGATATATTTATTGTGCACAGTGCACTGTTACACAAACAGACAGTAGATACATGATACATGTGATACAGTATCGAAGAGTCAGTATTGAGTTCAGTTGGAAAACGTGATGGATGCACCACCGACATGCAGTGTCCTCAGGTCTCCCAGTAATCTGGTGGCCGGAGCTGTAAAACACACACGTACACAGTATTTGGTTTGATCCCTATTCTTTACTTGCCCGCGAAAAATTTTATGTTGCTGCCCGTGAAAAATTTATGTTGTTGTATAATTATACCTCAAAACTCGGTGCTCAATATAACGGGATATTATATACAGTACCTCACAACATTGGAACTTCATGTGTCGATTGCTATACTACTGCACCAAGGAGCATTAAAAAAATATTGCTGATACAGGGAACGATAGAGGGGAGAGGGAATGATTCGGGAGGTAGAGAGACCTTTGTAAGAAGGGTGTCCTGTGTTAAAGTGGTGTTTGGCCGACGGTCTCATCGCGTTGTTTGCTGCATACACACTCATGTGTTTTGGATGTGAATGGTACACTTTGGCCGACGTCTTTGGTTTCAAGACAATGGTTGTGGTGGTCCCAACCACCGAGCGCTGAGATCCAACTGGTGCTGAAAATGGTATACAACCACGAACTAAAAAATGTTGCTACAATAATTGTACTTTCACGAAAAATGATTTTGTGAATGCAGTTGGCACAAATGGAGTTTTCGCTAAAAAGTTTCAGAGTTATTGGTTTTTCAGTAGCTTAGGTTTAGAGCTATATATATACAGTAGTTGATGAGTGGCTAGATATGTACACACATATATACCTGAAGTTGCTCTCTGTTTGAGACGAGGAACAAAAGCTGATCGACTGTTAGTCTCTCTCCTGTGATAACATTACATAATTACATGTATATTCCCTAACTCATTGGGCCAGAACAATTTGTCACTGTGCCATTATAATGCACCACTAACGATCTCAGTAGCTTCGTGACGAGCATCTGCCGGTTGGAGCCGACAGATGCTACAGTATTAGAGTCGACATGGTATGTATGTGCATCGGATGCTCACCTGTTCATGAGTCTAGCAGAGCTAAGGAGACTCGGTCTTGGTCTGGGGAGGGACCTGACAGGACTCCAGGCATGGTGGACCAGACTAGATGTTGATTCCAGTGGCTCCCTGCTGCTTACTGCAGAGCTGAGGTAAGGGAATTCCATGATTGATCTTGAGTATGGAGGAGGAGGAGAGGGGGATCGAGGGGAGGAGGGAGGGCGAGGTGGGTAAGGGGACGATTCTTCACACGAGTGTTGTTTCCCTGACGAGTGCGCCGGACACGAGACGAGAGATTTCGAGTGCTCCCATTTTTCGGAGAATTGCAGTTGAGGGGAAGGGAGGGTGATGTCGATGGAGGTGTGGTGAGTGATGGGGGAGGAGTTTGGGGAGGGGTGGAGGCCACCGGCGAAGGCGAGCTTTGTCAGAACTTTCTTCTGGTGTTCAATTCGGGCCTCATCTGGGGGAGAGTGGGAGGGGAGAGGACATGAAGAGTAAAGTGAAGAGAAAACAGAGAAAGATGCAGAATAAAGTAGGAAGAGCTAAATGTGAGGTAAAGCAGCAGCAATAACAGAGGGTATAATGTGAAGCAAGGAGAGATAAGTGTGCACGTATGTACTACATGAGTTAGGAAGAAAATAAGAGGCGAGCAGAAAGAGAAAGAGAGTGTGTGTGAATACCGGTGCTGAGTCTTGAAGAAGGTCGACTGTCGGTGATCTGGATCCTCATGGGAGGAGAAGGTCCCACGTGGCTCGGCTCGCTCCCTGAGTCCAGCTCCTGATTGTGAATACAAGATAGCAGATCACTAAGGATGGTAGTACTTAGTATAAAGGGATTAGAATTAGCATCTGGATACAGAATGAGGAAGTAGCAATACATAATATGGCATACAAGTATAGAAACAGGTCTTAAAACATACTATTTTTGAGTATTTTCCCTGTTACCACACAAGGTATAATATACATGTTCACGAGAAAGAAACTCCAAGACGTGTATATGGATAGCTCACTGGTTCAGACATTACGTTCTGGAGTTCCAGTTCAGACGTGAAACTTGCTCCTGAGCAAAGACGGGTGGGGTCAGGGGTCGTATCCCTGGCGACAGGACCCGGAACACCCGACGACGACTGAAGAGGTCTGCAGCAACGAATAGGGTTTGTACAAGACGCGTGGCAGGCCGAGAGAGCCCTGGTCTGGACTGAAGACCGGACACGCTGCATGGACTGGGGACAGGAATGGAATGGAATCTGGGAATGGGACACAGTGTGTGACCTCTGGGACTCACCGGGAGCAGTTGAGAGGTGGTGCGACAGACTCCGGAGCCGTGCCGACCTCGTCTTGAGGGGATTCCCCTTCGTCTCTTCCCCTGAACGACGTCGCTGGAGGAGTTCACCAGGAACGTGGAGACATCGTTGTACACGTCCCACTCACTACCCTGTGTGACAGAGGCCAGCAGCACTCCATGCATACACACATACTAGAGAGCTACCCTGTGTTACAGAGGCCACTAGCACTCCATGCATACACACATACTAGAGAGCTACCCTGTGTGACAGAGGCCAGCAGCACTCCATGCATACACACACACTGGAGAGAGAAAGCTTCATGATTCTTCATAATCTTCACTACTTTCTACTTTTGTCGTCGTTAGTGAAAAGTTTCTCCACCTGTATATACATACCCCTCTCGCTTGTGCCTTCCACATTACATCGTTGATGACATCACCTGCTCGAGGGTTGCTAGTGGCAACGCAAACCAGTTGTAGGAGACCTGAAAGTGGATAAATATCTCTCGGTTCTCAATAATTCCAAACCTTGGTGTGTGGTGACCTGACTGAAGAACTGAGTCACTAGACACAGCAGAGTCACCACTTCCGATGCTAGACACACACTTCAGTTCCGACTCCCTATGAGCATAGTATGTGAGAGAGAGAGAAGAAGAATGAGACGGGAGGGAGAGGCAGAGAGAGAGAGGGAGAGAGAGGCAGAGAGAGAAGAAGAAAGAGAGGCAGAGAGAGAGGGGGAGAGAGAGAGGCAGAGGGGGGCAAGTAAAGAAGAGGAGAGAGGAGGAGCCGGGGATTGAGAAGGCAAGAAGAAGCAAAGAAAGTTAGTTGGAAGGACGGAGCCAGAGGTGAAAAAGAGAGATGACTTACTCTTCTCTCTGCCGAGGGTTTCTCACTGCTCTGAGTGACCTACAAACAACAAAGAAACCACATTAAGACAGTAGTTATAGTTAGGTTAGGACCTTCCAGCCGCTGCGGCCGCTTCCTTTCTTTGCAACGAGTCCACGGCAAGGTTGAGACTAGCAAACAACTTCTTGTAGACTCCACCTTCCTACCGCAGACAGGAGAAGGAGAGAGGAGAAGGAGAGAGAGCAGGCAGGAGAAGGAGAGAGAAGGAGAGAGAGCAGGCAGCTGAAAGTAGTTGTACAGTGGAACCTCCGTATAAGGACACACTATGAAATTGTCCTTCACACGATCTTTTATTCTATAGCACCGGATCGAAACAGTGTCCTCTATAGGGAGATGTCCCTTATTCGGAGGTTCCACTGCATACCTTCTTGTCCTGTCTATCAACAGCGGCTGCACCGAGCAGTAAAGTGCCCACTCCCAGCATCATGTCACGCGGGAGACCAAAGACATCGGCACACCACACCTCCACTGTACAATAACCAGATAATACCACACTGTGATGATGTTGTGTAGCTGATTTTGCACACGCAAAACGGTACGTATTATACAGTGCCATGTATGAAAATTTTTTGTGAGCACAAATATACACTGCTCAAAATATGCTGATCATGATAAAGTATGTCTACATATATACTAGGAATCAGTGTACATTCTGGATGATACACTCACCCAATTTTTGTCAGTTTTGCTGTTTCGAGTGTCTCCCTCAGTATGTCGTGTGGTAGTCCATATTCTAGGTGAGCCTGTGTGTGTGAGAAAATACAGCAAATATAGTTGCGCAATTTCAGCCGTGAAACGAGGGTACATTGTATATAATATGTCCATCCACATCACTTTAACTATTGTGATGTCAGTATATGAACAGGTCAGGGAAGCTGCTAGGAGGAAACACAAATACTTATTTGCTGTTTTGTGAAAAGGAACAACGGTGCAGTGTAGCAACGAGCTGGAGGACTCACCAATGAGGATTAGTACATGGTGGTTGGATGCTCTGTGGAGCTGTTCTGTCTCTATCATCAGGCCAGATCTCGGGGACCGACCCTCTCCCTCCATCTCCCTGGACCAACACATATATATATATACGGTGACCATCTGGAAACATCCTGTGGTATACGGTGTGAGTACGTAAATAAGGGGACACCGTGGGGACAACTGCGTCGTGCCTAGGGAGTAGGACTATTGCAGAGAAGGGCAGTAAATGCATACACGTCTATGGTCGCCAACATGCTATAATATCCACTCGGTACTCTTACTTGCGCTCTGTATTCATGTGTAGCTTTATCTCTTCTTCCAGATTGTGTGCCGATATATGGAGTCGCTCTGTCCATCTCGTGCAGTTAATGACACTCATACAACCACAACCAAAACAACACGTACATACATTACAACAATCACTCGGCAGAAAGTAAGGCTTGTGCATTCGAGAGTTCCATGCAACTTTTTTGCGGGCCGGTATGTGAACCGTCAGTATATAGGACAAGCAGAGCCAAGTTCTTTGTAATGGATAAACATAACATACTAGAAACACAACTTCTCACTGCCACTGTACCGTCGGGCCAATGATCAATGAATAATCCGTAGTATGAGTGCTGCATGCACAAGTCCGCGTGCTGACCCGACCAGCCACCGTTTTATCCACATCGTACCAGTGTGTGTGGGTATCGGCGGGCAGAGGCACTGCTGCATGTGAGATGAGTTGTCTGGTACGGACAGACAGTGAGTCATTGATGGCAAGAAGCCTCAGAAGTGGTGTACACTATTAACGGAAGACCGGTCGTACGTTTACTTCTTGCCCACCGGCTCCATCCCAGCCGGTTGTTTCATGCAGTCGTGCCCACAAACACCTCTCTCACTTGCCTTTTTCAATGATTATAGGTGGAAGAGGGGAAAAGAGGAGAGACGATAAGAAGATGAACGGTGGAGCAGAACGCAGAAGAGACGATTTTGAAAAGAAGATGAACGGAGCAGAACACAGAAGAAGCGATGTGAAAAATACGAACACAAAAGTAAGCGCAGAAGGCGAAAGGAAAAGGGGACAGGACAGAGGCTGCATTGAAAAGATGTGACGGGACCATTGGTAATATACCCACCACGGCTGTGGAGAAGTGTCAGATTTATGGAAGACCTGTGACACGTGGTCTTCTTCGCGGCTAAATTATATGGAAACAGGAATGACCCCAAAACAAGTGCCACAGTGACAATATTATTAACCGTGATAATTCTATTGATCCAATACCCAGAGATTGGTAGATAGTAGAGCATCCACAACATGTTCTCTATCTACAAGGACAAGATATAGCAGGAAAAGTTATCCTTCAACTGTATAGTTTATCTACGTATGTACACACGAAATTTATGGTGTTCGAGTTCATAATGATTGTTTGCCAGTATACTGGTGCAAAGAAATAGAAAATCGTGTAAAAAGTATACGTGCGTTCAGAAACATGAGAACTTCAACAACGGGTTGACAATAACTAGGATAGAGGTCTAGGTACCCGAGGAAAGCTGCATTTATGGAAAACTGCACAGCCTGTAATGTGGACCAAATCACCCTCAAGTCGGGGGATGTGGATTGTTGGTAATTAGGATTTTTTTTGAGGTGGGGGAGGCTTTTTGGCTGGATTTGGTGTTCGATTTGGTTGGTTTGATGGTTGAAGGGTGATTGCTGGTTGGTTGCATGGGGGGGGACGGTGCATGTGGGGGGTGCTGGAGCGGGGGCGCGGGTGATAGTTGCTGTGAGTTGCGTTGGTGGTTCTGGCTAGTCGGGGGGTCTGGCTGGCTTTGTGATGGGAGGGGTGCGGTTGGGGGGGGGTGCTGGTGTTGGGGTGGTTGGGTGCTAATTAAAGCTCACAGTAGGGGTAGAGTCCAGTTGAGGATTCCAGAGAGGGTTCCAGGGAGAGAAGGGCCTGTTGGACTCAGCCTCGAAAGCTCCGCCACTCCAGCTGTTACACAGAAGAGGCTTGAGAGAGACGAGGAATGGGAACTTGAAGAGTCCTTTGAAGACTCTTGACCTGAGCAGCAGAGGAAATTTTATCTCTCTTCTCTCCATTCTTCATAACGTATATACCCTGTTCCCAAGTGAGGTCGAAGGGGACCCAAGCTGGATGACAAGAAGTGAGGTGTGCAGTACAGAGCTGCCTGTGGTTGCTAGACGAGATCTGAAAAGGGGGGGGGGGGACTGGGGCGAGTCCAGCTCCTATATCCCACCTTCACAAGAAATACAAGACGTACAGAGAGTAAGGCTTTCATTGGGCAGGAAAGTGCTCCCATTACTAATTTTGTTTCCGACAGATTAAGCAGTTCCCACTTTTTCCAGAGATCTGTGCACCGTTTCCACAGCAGCTGGAGTAGAGAGCAGAAAGAAGCATACATATCTCCTTGCGCCGCAACGCACAAGCAACAGGTGGCTCTAATAGAAACAACCCGTTCTTGGACATATAATCTGCAGGTAATCCGAATCTCTCTAGCTCTATATATCTTTCACCTAGATCCGTTGTTATCAGCCAGGCTCACAAGAGAAGCCACAGTTATGTTCTGGGGCCGGCTTCTACCACGCCGCAAATTGAATTCCATCAGCCCCACCTCTTAGCCCTTGCAAAAGTATAGAGCTGCGTAAATTCCGCAAATTCCACCACATAGCGCATGCAGATGATGAATAATCAAGATAAGGGGAAGAATTGGGGTCAGAGAAAAGTGCTATGCAAACACAATGTTCTCTTCTGATCTTATAATAATACCTGCAAGAAAAGAGACTGCCACTAAATCAGGGATGCCTGCCACATATTAAAAAAAAATCAGTTAAGCTGTTGTGTTCACCAACTGATTTATTCCACGGTACATTTCCCACGTGAGAGAATTTGTTTTTTTCCAGCTCAGTGTTGCCAAGTGCCTGGCAGCCTGACCACATCTGGACGCAGTAGCTCAGCCAGCCGACGATCAGCGAATCACCACTCCTGCATATAGAAGACATGCAATTTCTAATTATAGCACCACCGAATACAGCTACAATAGAATCTACTGGAGTAATTAGTATGGATCTGGTCTTACTTCCAGATGTCTGTCATTTTACATATCTGTGAGAACGGGGTCCCTGTGAATGCGTTGTGAAACCACAAGTCACATGACCGACACTCAAGTCACATGACCCACCGAGACCCAGGCGTGAACACGTACTGATGTGCGGTCTGAAACTCTCCACGTAGGCTCCTCCTCCATGTCCAACTTGGGCTCATCGATATCGAGCGATCCTCCGCGCCGTGTCCTTAGGGAAGATTTGGCCGGAAAAAGTTTTGGGTAGAATGAGTTGATGTATATAGTGTTTGCTAGGAGGGTGAGGTGGGACGGTTTGAAACATTCTGCAGGCCATACACAGTACAACCTAAGGCCTGCGTGGTTACTAGAAAACAGTAGTATTAAGGTCTTAGGCTGAAAAAAAACCACACTTGCATCATTTTCAGGGGGGTTCCAGCGAGTTGTTGATAATTTGGCATTGATTAGCTGTAAGAGGGCATCGCAACATACATCATACATACAGAAGGTTAATCTGGTATGGATTGTCTGTATACAAACACCCTTTCCTGGGAGAGAGAAGGAGAGAAGTGCCACCAATGCTCCACTGTCGAGATCATTGAACGATCCGTTGACATAGCCTCGTTACAGTAGCTATTCCACGTTGGAGGGGAGGGGGAGGAGAAGAGGGGCTGTAGGAATAACAGAGAAAGATTTTAGTACATATAGATCGTACATGCCTGATATACAGGCACTCTTCCTTCACTTCATCACGTTAAGAAGCATGGCAATCCCAACATACGCAATAAAAAGCCTGTCAGATGCGTTCCAACCAAATATCATAGCTATAGGGTGGCTCCACTTTTCGAAATTTAGCAGAAAGTGGGAAGGAAGGACAGGCCACCTACCATATTGCATACATTGACTATACTG